GGGGGGGGGGGGGGGGGGGGGGGGGGTGTGGGAGGAGGGATATTCTTCCCCACATCGTTCCCCTTCTCAAGGGGATTCAGAGGTGGCTTAAACAAGTAAAAGGACCTTATTGGCAAGACTCTGCATGCCCTGGGTTCCAGACACTGGCGAGCAGGGCTGCTCAGGCCTGGCTGACCCTGCGGAGCCGAGCTGGCTCTCTGCTCCCGTCTCGGCGTCAGGCGAAACACGTGGGCTCTGCTCTCCCAGCTTCTGGACCTTTAGTTGGTGGAAGCCCATTGCAAAGAGTTGGGAAATTCAGTGTAGCTTTTTTACTAACTCTTTTTCTTTTTTTTTTTTTTTTTTGGAAGCAAGCTGATTATTCAGCTCTGATGAAAACTTGTGCTCTTGGTTGGATGACCCAGGTCCCAAGACAGAGGTGATAAGAATGATTGAGTAGTGACATATGTGCTAAGAACTTTGGTTCATTGGGAATTATAGAACTTCATGGACACAGATCAATTTCCTATTTTTTTTTTTTTTTTTTTTTTTTAATACCGGTATAAACTGAGTGAATGTCCAAAAAAGAATAGGCTTTTGGTTGGGACTTGGTGAAGGAGATGGGTTTCAATTGGAAATTGTGATTGGAAAAAGGGGGAGAAGGATGTTGCTCCTCCCATCATCTTCTTTCGTATGGTTGGCACTTTAAAAGGGGGGGGGCCTTGAACTGTCCTGACCCTCGGTGGGATGGACAGCAGGCGTGTGATCTACCCCCCCAGCCCCCTTTGCCACATCACTTTGCCCCCAGCAGAAAGTTAATAAGCCCTTTTCAAAAAAAAAAAAAAGGATTAATTGTGGTCTCTATGGCCAGAATGCATGCAGATGAGCTACTGGAAAAGGGAATTTGGCAGAATGAGAAACAAGGAATGAAAGGGCCTTGATTTATATATTATTTCTTTCGCCCTGCTAGCTAAGGATGGCTGCACGGGGAGGGTGCTCGGCAGTCTGGCAAAGCCGTACAGCCACTTTCTCTGTTCTGATGGTTTCTCTCTTCAAGTCAAGAGGTTTCTTTCTGTATTCGGACAGACAACACGTAGGACGTGGATCTTTTTCACCCTTTCCCTTCAAAGGGAATTACATTTGGATTAGGGTTAGAAGGGGTACGGGCAACACCTTGGTTTGGTTTAGTGTAGGGAAAAAGCGTTGGATCTTTTGAGTCTGTCTAGAACAAAAACTCTTTCACAGTTGCTGGTGTTTTTTAATGGTGATCTCTTCTCCGTTCAGGCTGGGAAGGTTTGGCACTGGTTGGCCGGCTGGTGAGCATCCTGCCCTGTTCCTGGGGTGATGCATGCCTGCAGGAAGGGGAGAACTGCTTGCTTTTTGTCTCTCCCTGGGGCTAAGCCAGGAATCCGGGCCTGGCCTGACCCTCTGCTCAGGTCGGGGTGAGGGCAGGAGGCTCAGGCAGTGATGGGTGTCCTGCCCTGTCTGCGGTGGCCGTGCAGGGCTGAGGGTCAGGCTGCTCCCCAGGGGCCAGCGAAGCCCCTTGGGGAAATCGGGTCCAACCAGGACTCGAAAGGAGCAAACATATGCCAGGAAAGAGGCCAAAACCCAGCTCACTTGTGCTGCTTTGCTTCTGTTCCCATGAAAAACAATGGCAGTCACTGTCAGAGCCGTTGGGAACCCAGGGCTTTCTTCTGGGCTTCCATTGGCAAGAGTCGGCTGCTCCGAGGCGCTGGCAGCTCGGCATGTCACGAAATCCCCAGTGGGACAGAGGGAGGAATCTCTCCCCCAGTGAAGCAGGAGGAGAAGCAGTTGAGCTTTTCAGAAAGCTGGTCTCGTTGTCCCAGTTTGGCAGAGGCGTAGCCTGCTCCATCGTGTGGCCGTGGCCAACGTCTCTGGCTTCTCTTCCAGCAGCTTTTGGCACATCACTGCTTGCATTTTTGATAACTGTGTCTTATAGGGTAATCTCTTCCTTGTCTTCACGTTATGATGACTCCACAAATCCCGGTCTTTACGGTAGCTGTATAGCTCTCCTACCCCTTGTTTTGAGTTAGAAAGCAGCCCTAGTCGTTCAGCCTGGTGCAGCACAGCCAGGGCTGGAGCCGCCAGCGCAGACCCGCAGGGAAGAAGGCACAGTCCGTCCCTGTTTCTAGATCCCACCCAGAGCTCTGTCACGAGCGGTCCCTGGTGGGTGGGTGATGGAAGTGGGGTCATTGTCCCCCAGACTCGCTGCCGTCCCTCGGGAAGCTGCGTCTCGCGAGCACTTTTTTCCTTGCGGCGTTGCTGCCGTCTGTTCCCTGTTGGACTTAGAACATTTAAGAAGTGAATCAGTTTCCAGACCCAAACCGCTGGCTAGTTTCCTTTTGGGTTTTGTTTTTTTTGTTGTTGTTGTTGTGAAGTTTATTGAATTTTTTTTTTTCTTTTTTTTTTATAAACCCAGCAGGCTGGTGTTTTGTTGACTGCATTATTGTTTCATTGATATTTTATTCCTGGGGGGCTGAGGGTTGTGCTCTTGGTTGGATGACCCAGGTCCCAAGACAGAGGTGATAAGAATGATTGAGTAGTGACATATGTGCTAAGAACTTTGGTTCATTGGGAATTATAGAACTTCATGGACACAGATCAATTTCCTATTTTTTTTTTTTTTTTTTTTTTTTAATACCGGTATAAACTGAGTGAATGTCCAAAAAAGAATAGGCTTTTGGTTGGGACTTGGTGAAGGAGATGGGTTTCAATTGGAAATTGTGATTGGAAAAAGGGGGAGAAGGATGTTGCTCCTCCCATCATCTTCTTTCGTATGGTTGGCACTTTAAAAGGGGGGGGGCCTTGAACTGTCCTGACCCTCGGTGGGATGGACAGCAGGCGTGTGATCTACCCCCCCAGCCCCCTTTGCCACATCACTTTGCCCCCAGCAGAAAGTTAATAAGCCCTTTTAAATGTTTGCTTCGGTTTTTAGAGGGTTCCGAAACCAGGCCAAGACCTGAAGAAATACGTATTTCTCTTCGCATCTTAATAGGAGGGGTTGACTTTTTTTATTTATTTTGTCGTTGCTGGTTTTCTTTTTTTTTTTTTTTTTAAAAAGTTCGAATATCCTCATTGTCCTTAACGGCATGGAAGCAAGCTGATTATTCAGCTCTGATGAAAACTTGTGCTCTTGGTTGGATGACCCAGGTCCCAAGACAGAGGTGATAAGAATGATTGAGTAGTGACATATGTGCTAAGAACTTTGGTTCATTGGGAATTATAGAACTTCATGGACACAGATCAATTTCCTACTTTTTTTTTTTTTTTTTTTTTTTAATACCGGTATAAACTGAGTGAATGTCCAAAAAAGAATAGGCTTTTGGTTGGGACTTGGTGAAGGAGATGGGTTTCAATTGGAAATTGTGATTGGAAAAAGGGGGAGAAGGATGTTGCTCCTCCCATCATCTTCTTTCGTATGGTTGGCACTTTAAAAGGGGGGGGGCCTTGAACTGTCCTGACCCTCGGTGGGATGGACAATAACTCTGTACAGATTTGTTTAGCACAACATTCTATTATCACCATGGCAATAAAGTGGTAGGCTTTTTATATGCTTTTCCATTGGGTGATGATTATTATTTTTCTCATTTTATTTGTGCTTCGAGCATATACTTTTGGAAATGAAACATAGTTACTTCTTACAACATAAGATGCAAGTTAATACTTACTTTTTTTTTGGTTTTTTTTTTTTTTTTTTTTTTAAAACTGGTGGCCGTGCAGCTGGCCTCTGCACGAGCCCTTGTGAACCTCTGGGAAAAACCTCACTCCAGGTACGCTAGAGCGCCTCGGTTAAACACCCCTCCTGGAGAGGGGCTCCCCCCACCCACCTTGCTCCCCTCCTCGCTGCCTTACCCGGGAGCTGCCGATTCACCCACTGCCCCTCCTGCCCCCTCCCCACCTCAGCTCTAGCTAAACAACGAGTTCTTGCTCCGGCGACCCAGCCCTGTGGACAAGGCTGGTCCCCGGGGGCAAGTTCCTACAAACACTGCCTGGTCGCAGGTGTTTGTCCTTGAAAAGCCACTTCCTCGCTATGGGGGGGGTTGGGGGGTTGATAAGCTCAAAATTCCCCCCTCTCCCCTTTCCTCGCTTCCCCCCCGAGAGCTGTGTCCTCCATCAGCCCACCCACCCCACCATCCCAGCCTGTGCCCTCCGCAGCTCCATGGCCCCTTGCCCCGTCGGGAGGGAGCGGATGGGGAAACCTGGGAAATAAAAAAAGGAATTTGGATGAAGCTGTGAGCGAGAGGTGTGGCTGAGCCTCCTCACTCGCCTCAAAACGCAAGGAATAACGGTAGAGCCCCTATTTTTGTGGGGGGAGGGAGGGGAAGGGGAGATGGTGTTTTATTTTCTTGAGAGTTAATTGAGGTTGGTGATCTTCAGATGAGGCGCGCACTTGATTTATATCAGATTCTATAGAGAGATCGCTGATATTTTTGGAAAGGGAATGGGTCTATGCAAACTTCCAAAATTTGCTTGAAAGATAGTTTAACATTTTTTTACTTTGAAATCTAAAGATAAATCTAACTTTTTTCTTAAAGCAGAAGCGCGTTTAGAAAGAGAAGCTACTTCCACTGCTCTATTTTGATGATGATTCTTGGAAAGTTTGGGCTGGAGGGAATGACTATTTTTCACCATTTTTATTCTTGCTCCTCTAGTTTTTTGTTTCTTTTTCTAACGGAATGCTGTGCCGTCTTTGATTCAACAGATCGTGTTTGTATTTTCTGTATCTGGTTCCTAACGTAGAGAAATAACAAATATATGAGGAAATCAATATAATGTCAAATGTTGTTATGGTTTGGGGGGAAAATAAAGGTTTTTGGTACTTCACAGTGATTCTTCTTGGTTTGTGTTGGTTTTTTTGTTTTGTTTTAAATGTATCTTTGGTTCAACAAAGGTTTTTGGTACTTCACAGTGATTCTTCGTGATTTGTTTTTTTTTGTTTTAAATGTATCTTTGGTTCAAAATTAATTTGCCAAGGAAGCAGAAGGGTCAGACGGTGCCTGCTGGCACGCAGGGCCCTGGAACAGGATTTGGTTTTGCCCTCCAGGATTTCCTTGGCGGCTGGGAGGGGAGAGTCCTGCCAACCCTTCCCTGCGGAGGGGAGAAGGGCTGGAGAGGGGAGCTGGCAGCACAGCACCGGTCCCGTGGAAGCAAGAGCCCTGCAATCCAGGGGGAAGGTGAACTGGCGCGAGTCTCTGGCTGCGTCTCGTGTTCCCGAACACCGTGTCCTGGCCAAAGCCATGCCTGAATGGCCCCGGCTTGCTCCCCTGCAGAGCAGGGCTGGGCACCCCTGCCCAGGGCCACCTCACCAGGCTGAAGGTGCTGGAGCCCCCAGGGCTCCAAGGAACACCCGCGGGCTCTTGCTGCTTGTGCTGGGGCAGCCCTTCCTCTTCCAGCACAGGTTGGTAATCGAGGTTTGGGCCAAACATGGTGCCTGGGGACTTGCTGCTGATGCACAGAAAGGCTGGAGAGGACCAGGGCACCTGGGAGGAGGTGGCTTTGCCTTCTCTACCCTCCCACAGCCTCAGCCACGTGTAGGATCAGCTGGTTTGAGTCCCATGCAGGCTCTTCCCCTTTCCCTCGGCTGCCTCCCCTTCCTCAGATGATCCCTGGTGTCCCTTGGCTCTTTGCTCTTGCTTTTCCCTTTCCTCCAGCTGAAACATGCGCAGATAAATTGATGGACTTTAAAATACAGCGGGTAAACAACCCTGTTTTGGACAAGGTGGCAGCTGGGGTGGAGGACACAAGTATCTGGGGTGCCGAGCTGGTTGGTTTCAAGATGAGTCACTTGCAGCAGAACTCAGACATCAGGTGGTGGATGAAACAAACCAGGGCACGATGCTGCTGCCACCCCAGGAGCCCCTCCATCCTCTCCTGTCACCAGGCGATGGCACCAGCAGGGGAATGCTTTAGCAAAGAGTTTCCCTCTCAGCCTTTCCCTCTGGGATGAGCCTGCTCCAAGCTGTAAAAAAGACATCTTTGTTGTGGGTGAAAGCCACCGAAAGCACAAAGGGCAGCCCCTCAGGCCTGAGAGGGGCCAAGGCCTCCTTCACACAAAAAAGGCCCCGAGCAGTGCAAAGGCACCCGGGACGTTCTGGAAACGTCCTTTCTTTCACAACCTGCTCATTTCCCCACTCAGGACCCTCCCCGGACGCTGGGGAGGCTGACGTGGGGCCTTGGGGTGCGACGGCCGCTCTGTCCCTTCTCCGAGGGGCTGCGGCCCGGCAGAGCCTGTCCCCCGGCTCACTGCGTGAGGGGCGCGCCGGGACTACAACTCCCGTCATGCTCCGGGCCAGCCGGGTTCACCCTTCCCATGATGCCGCCGGCCCCAAGGCCACTCCTTCTGATTGGTCATCTCCGGCTGAGGGAGGGGTGGGGTTGGCGTGCGGCGCGCTGATTGGTGGCCGCTCCCGGAAGAGCGGGGAGGCCGGGGCTCGCCATGGTGAGTGGGGTCGGGGACGGGCCTTGCCCCGCCGGCCCCGGGGTTCCTCGGGAGGCCCGGCTCGGTAACGTGGGGGGGTGAGGCTGAACGTCGGCCGTGAGGCAGCGCGGGGCCTCCTCCGGGACTACAACTCCCGTCATGCTCCGGGCCAGCCGGGTTCACCCTTCCCATGATGCCGCCGGCCCCAAGGCCACTCCTTCTGATTGGTCATCTCCGGCTGAGGGAGGGGTGGGGTTGGCGTGCGGCGCGCTGATTGGTGGCCGCTCCCGGAAGAGCGGGGAGGCCGGGGCTCGCCATGGTGAGTGGGGTCGGGGACGGGCCTTGCCCCGCCGGCCCCGGGGTTCCTCGGGAGGCCCGGCTCGGTAACGTGGGGGGGTGAGGCTGAACGTCGGCCGTGAGGCAGCGCGGGGCCTCCTGGTTACCCGCCCCCGGGGGGAGGCCGGGCCCTGGCCGCCTCCTGTGGCCTTGCCGGTGCCGGCGGCGGCGGGGCTCGGAGCTGTGAACGGCCGGGGGCGGGAGTTCCGGCAGCAGGGCCTGGCCTCTCTCCCCGCCGCCGTGGCGGTGGATTGCTTCTGCTGCAGAGACTCCCCGCTCCGCTCCCCGTTTGAGCCCCGCAGCGGTGCCGTTCGCCCGCCCCGGGGCTGAAGAAGCGGCGGGGGCCCGGTAACCCTTCCCGCGCCGCTGCCGCAGCTCTGACTCTCTCTCTCTCCCCCCCTTTGCAGGCCACAGCAACGGACCAGGTGGTTGGATTCGGCTTGGTCGCCTTCAGCCTCGTCCTCTTTGTTTACTACACGCTCTGGATCATCGCCCTGGTACGGCTCGCCCCGGCCATCACGGCCCCAGCCACTCTGGCCTTGAGCTAGGCTCGGTCGGGGTGCTGATGTGCCTGAAGGACCCTGCCTCGCCAGCCTCCTGGTTAAAAAAAATCCAGGGCAGAGCTTCCCCTCTCTGCTGGCACAGCCCTTGCCCCTTCAGGCTGTGCCTGCCCTTGCCTGGGTGAAGCCAAGCGTGGGTCGTGCCGCCTGCCCTGCTGCTCCCAGACAGGCCAACCTGGCCGGGGGCAGATCCCGGGCTCCCTGGAGCTGTCAGGGAGAGCTGGAGCTGTCAGGGAGAGCTGGAGCTTGCTGCTCCCTCTGGAGGAGTCATTGATGCTCACATTTACCATCCTCCAGATTCCCAGTTCTGGCGGGGGTATCCCAGAGGGAACTATAAAAAGAGATGACTCTTACCAACTCTGGGGCCTGGCAGGGAGGAGTCGAGTTTGGGGAATGCAGAGCTCTGGAAAAGCGATCATGAGCCTGGTAGTTTGCCCGCTTGCGGTGACACATCAGCTTGGGTTCATTAGTGGTTTTCTTCCAGGAAGGAAATATCTCCTCATGAGCTTTCCAGGTACAGGAGGCCTGGTTCAGCCCCGGGCTGATGTCTGAACTCCTGGCAGCTTCCCCTCTGCCCTCTGAGGGTTTCGAATTCCCTCCTTGGGTCTGCTCAACCTGCTGCCTGATACCTGCTCCTACAGGGCTGTAGTGCCGGGAGGTGCTCTCGCTGCCATGTGGGAATCCTTACACTGCTCTCTAGTGTCCAGAGCCTTCACTGGCCTCCGCAGGGGGATCCTGGTGGGATGAAGCAGAGCTGGTATCAGCCCTCCCTTCTGCAGGGCAGAGAGTCAGGGGGTTTGCTGTGTTCAGCATCAAGCAGCAGCCGTGCCCCTCCCCGAGACCCCAGGGCTGTGGGACCCCTGTTCCAGCCTCGTGTGGCCACCCCTCGCTGCCTGCCACGCGCTGAAGCCTTCCCTGGGGCTTCCCAGCTTCCCTGGGCTGTGTAGGGAAGAGTGTGGCCAGGAGGTGGAGGGAGGTCATTCTCCCCCTCTGCTCTGCACTGGGGAGGCCACAACTGGAATCCTGCGTCCAGTTCTGGGCTCCCCAGTTCAAGAGAGACAGGGAACAGGGAGAGCTGGAGCTGTCAGGGAGAGCTGGAGCTTGCTGCTCCCTCTGGAGGAGTCATTGATGCTCACATTTACCATCCTCCAGATTCCCAGTTCTGGTGGGGGTATCCCAGAGGGAACTATAAAAAGAGATGACTCTTACCAACTCTGGGGCCTGGCAGGGAGGAGTCGAGTTTGGGGAATGCAGAGCTCTGGAAAAGCGATCATGAGCCTGGTAGTTTGCCCGCTTGCGGTGACACATCAGCTTGGGTTCATTAGTGGTTTTCTTCCAGGAAGGAAATATCTCCTCATGAGCTTTCCAGGTACAGGAGGCCTGGTTCAGCCCCGGGCTGATGTCTGAACTCCTGGCAGCTTCCCCTCTGCCCTCTGAGGGTTTCGAATTCCCTCCTTGGGTCTGCTCAACCTGCTGCCTGATACCTGCTCCTACAGGGCTGTAGTGCCGGGAGGTGCTCTCGCTGCCATGTGGGAATCCTTACACTGCTCTCTAGTGTCCAGAGCCTTCACTGGCCTCCGCAGGGGGATCCTGGTGGGATGAAGCAGAGCTGGTATCAGCCCTCCCTTCTGCAGGGCAGAGAGTCAGGGGGTTTGCTGTGTTCAGCATCAAGCAGCAGCCGTGCCCCTCCCCGAGACCCCAGGGCTGTGGGACCCCTGTTCCAGCCTCGTGTGGCCGCCCCTCGCTGCCTGCCGCGTGCTGAAGCCTTCCCTGGGGCTGCCCAGCTTCCCCAGGCTGAGTAGGGAAGAGTGTGGCCAGGAGGAGGTCATTCTCCCCCTCTGCTCTGCACTGGGGAGGCCACAACTGGAATCCTGCCTCCAGTCCTGGGCTCCCCAGTTCAAGAGGGACAGGGAACTGCTGGAGAGAGTCCGGTGTGGGGCAACAGAGATGATGGAGGGATTGGAGCATCTCCCTGATGAGGAAAGGCTGAGAGAGCTGGGGCTCTTCAGCCTGGAGAAGAGAAGGCTGAGGGGAGACCTTATCAATGCTGACAAGTGTCTAAAGGGTGGGTTGGGAGGATGGAGCCGGACTCTTTCCAGTGGTTCAGTGTTCCAGTGACAGGACGAGGGGCAACGGGCACAAGCTGGACCATGGGAAGTTCCACTGCAATGTGAGGAAGAACTTCTTTGGGGTGAGGGTGGCAGAGCCCTGGCACAGGCTGCCCAGGGAGGGTGTGGAGTCCCCTTCTCTGGAGATCTTAAAGATCCACCTGGATGCTCCTGAGTGATGTGCTCTGGGCAACCCTGCTTTGGCAGGGGAGTTGGACTGGATGATCTCTAGAAGGTCCCTTCCAACTCTGACAGTCCCTGTGGCGTCCCTGCAGCTGTGGGCCGGGCCACGTGTGGGTCTGGGCACCCTCTTTTCTTTTAAACTATCTCCTCACGCCTGATATTTCCATCCTGCTTTTGAAACCACGAGGCCGCGGGTGTCGGGGACTTGCCCGGGTGTTGTCCCCACCTGCTGACACCCCTCTGTCTCCTGCAGCCCTTCATCGACAGCGACCATGTGATCCACAAGTACTTCTTGCCGAGGGAGTACGCCGTTATCATCCCCGTGGTGGCCGGGCTGCTGCTGCTGCTATTTATAGGTGAGTGTTATTTCTGTTGTTCTAATTAGAAGCTTCTAAATTAGGAAGAGAGAAGAGGGTTGCTAGGGGGTTACCTAATGTGTGACACTCGTGACACGCTCTCTGTGGCTCCTGACACAGCTCAGCCTGGCACAGGCTCTTGGGGCCTGTGTTTGGGGTGGCTTTGGCTATGTGACCCTCTGGACAGCAGAATTGTTTCTTGCTGGCTTCGCTGAGGTTCTGTTTCTCCCCGCAATATGTTCTAAAAGTGCCCATAATTAGAAGTTTTCTGGCTGAATCTCTTCTCTCTTTCGCGGTAGGTGTTTTTATAACGGTGGTGATGTGGAGGAGCAGGAAACCTGCCAAGAAATCAGAGGAAGCTACTTCCACTGCTCTATTTTGATGATGATTCTTGGAAAGTTTGGGCTGGAGGGAATGACTATTTTTCACCATTTTTATTCTTGCTCCTCTAGTTTTTTGTTTCTTTTTCTAACGGAATGCTGTGCCGTCTTTGATTCAACAGATCGTGTTTGTATTTTCTGTATCTGGTTCCTAACGTAGAGAAATAACAAATATATGAGGAAATCAATATAATGTCAAATGTTGTTATGGTTTGGGGGGAAAAATAAAGGTTTTTGGTACTTCACAGTGATTCTTCGTGATTTGTTTTTTTTTGTTTTAAATGTATCTTTGGTTCAACATTAATTTGCCAAGGAAGCAGAAGGGTCAGACGGTGCCTGCTGGCACGCAGGGCCCTGGAACAGGATTTGGTTTTGCCCTCCAGGATTTCCTTGGCGGCTGGGAGGGGAGAGTCCTGCCAACCCTTCCCTGCGGAGGGGAGAAGGGCTGGAGAGGGGAGCTGGCAGCACAGCACCGGTCCCGTGGAAGCAAGAGCCCTGCAATCCAGGGGGAAGGTGAACTGGCGCGAGTCTCTGGCTGCGTCTCGTGTTCCCGAACACCGTGTCCTGGCCAAAGCCATGCCTGAATGGCCCCGGCTTGCTCCCCTGCAGAGCAGGGCTGGGCACCCCTGCCCAGGGCCACCTCACCAGGCTGAAGGTGCTGGAGCCCCCAGGGCTCCAAGGAACACCCGCGGGCTCTTGCTGCTTGTGCTGGGGCAGCCCTTCCTCTTCCAGCACAGGTTGGTAATCGAGGTTTGGGCCAAACATGGTGCCTGGGGACTTGCTGCTGATGCACAGAAAGGCTGGAGAGGACCAGGGCACCTGGGAGGAGGTGGCTTTGCCTTCTCTACCCTCCCACAGCCTCAGCCACGTGTAGGATCAGCTGGTTTGAGTCCCATGCAGGCTCTTCCCCTTTCCCTCGGCTGCCTCCCCTTCCTCAGATGATACCTGGTGTCCCTTGGCTCTTTGCTCTTGCTTTTCCCTTTCCTCCAGCTGAAACATGCGCAGATAAATTGATGGACTTTAAAATACAGCGGGTAAACAACCCCGTTTTGGACAAGGTGGCAGCTGGGGTGGAGGACACAAGTATCTAGGGTGCCGAGCTGGTTGGTTTCAAGATGAGTCACTTGCAGCAGAACTCAGACATCAGGTGGTGGATGAAACAAACCAGGGCACGATGCTGCTGCCACCCCAGGAGCCCCTCCATCCTCTCCTGTCACCAGGCGATGGCACCAGCAGGGGAATGCTTTAGCAAAGAGTTTCCCTCTCAGCCTTTCCCTCTGGGATGAGCCTGCTCCAAGCTGTAAAAAAGACATCTTTGTTGTGGGTGAAAGCCACCGAAAGCACAAAGGGCAGCCCCTCAGGCCTGAGAGGGGCCAAGGCCTCCTTCACACAAAAAAGGCCCCGAGCAGTGCAAAGGCACCCGGGACGTTCTGGAAACGTCCTTTCTTTCACAACCTGCTCATTTCCCCACTCAGGACCCTCCCCGGACGCTGGGGAGGCTGACGTGGGGCCTTGGGGTGCGACGGCCGCTCTGTCCCTTCTCCGAGGGGCTGCGGCCCGGCAGAGCCTGTCCCCCGGCTCACTGCGTGAGGGGCGCGCCGGGACTACAACTCCCGTCATGCTCCGGGCGAGCCGCGTTCACCCTTCCCATGATGCCACTGGCCCCAAGGCCGCCCCTTCTGATTGGTCATCTCCGGCTGAGGGAGGGGTGGGGTTGGCGTGCGGCGCGCTGATTGGTGGCCGCTCCCGGAAGAGCGGGGAGGCCGGGGCTCGCCATGGTGAGTGGGGTCGGGGACGGGCCTTGCCCCGCCGGCCCCGGGGTTCCTCGGGAGGCCCGGCTCGGTAACGTGGGGGGGTGAGGCTGAACGTCGGCCGTGAGGCAGCGCGGGGCCTCCTGGTTACCCGCCCCCGGGGGGAGGCCGGGCCCTGGCCGCCTCCTGTGGCCTTGCCGGTGCCGGCGGCGGCGGGGCTCGGAGCTGTGAACGGCCGGGGGCGGGAGTTCCGGCAGCAGGGCCTGGCCTCTCTCCCCGCCGCCGTGGCGGTGGATTGCTTCTGCTGCAGAGACTCCCCGCTCCGCTCCCCGTTTGAGCCCCGCAGCGGTGCCGTTCGCCCGCCCCGGGGCTGAAGAAGCGGCGGGGGCCCGTTAACCCTTCCCGCGCCGCTGCCGCAGCTCTGACTCTCCCTCTCTCCCCCCCTTTGCAGGCCACAGCAACGGACCAGGTGGTTGGATTCGGCTTGGTCGCCTTCAGCCTCGTCCTCTTTGTTTACTACACGCTCTGGATCATCGCCCTGGTACGGCTCGCCCCGGCCATCACGGCCCCAGCCACTCTGGCCTTGAGCTAGGCTCGGTCGGGGTGCTGATGTGCCTGAAGGACCCTGCCTCGCCAGCCTCCTGGTTAAAAAAAATCCAGGGCAGAGCTTCCCCTCTCTGCTGGCACAGCCCTTGCCCCTTCAGGCTGTGCCTGCCCTTGCCTGGGTGAAGCCAAGCGTGGGTCGTGCCGCCTGCCCTGCTGCTCCCAGACAGGCCAACCTGGCCGGGGGCAGATCCCGGGCTCCCTGGAGCTGTGAGGGAGAGCTGGAGCTGTCAGGGAGAGCTGGAGCTTGCTGCTCCCTCTGGAGGAGTCATTGATGCTCACATTTACCATCCTCCAGATTCCCAGTTCTGGTGGGGGTATCCCAGAGGGAACTATAAAAAGAGATGACTCTTACCAACTCTGGGGCCTGGCAGGGAGGAGTCGAGTTTGGGGAATGCAGAGCTCTGGAAAAGCGATCATGAGCCTGGTAGTTTGCCCGCTTGCGGTGACACATCAGCTTGGGTTCATTAGTGGTTTTCTTCCAGGAAGGAAATATCTCCTCATGAGCTTTCCAGGTACAGGAGGCCTGGTTCAGCCCCGGGCTGATGTCTGAACTCCTGGCAGCTTCCCCTCTGCCCTCTGAGGGTTTCGAATTCCCTCCTTGGGTCTGCTCAACCTGCTGCCTGATACCTGCTCCTACAGGGCTGTAGTGCCGGGAGGTGCTCTCGCTGCCATGTGGGAATCCTTACACTGCTCTCTAGTGTCCAGAGCCTTCACTGGCCTCCACAGGGGGATCCTGGTGGGATGAAGCAGAGCTGGTATCAGCCCTCCCTTCTGCAGGGCAGAGAGTCAGGGGGTTTGCTGTGTTCAGCATCAAGCAGCAGCCGTGCCCCTCCCCGAGACCCCAGGGCTGTGGGACCCCTGTTCCAGCCTCGTGTGGCCACCCCTCGCTGCCTGCCACGCGCTGAAGCCTTCCCTGGGGCTTCCCAGCTTCCCTGGGCTGTGTAGGGAAGAGTGTGGCCAGGAGGTGGAGGGAGGTCATTCTCCCCCTCTGCTCTGCACTGGGGAGGCCACAACTGGAATCCTGCGTCCAGTTCTGGGCTCCCCAGTTCAAGAGAGACAGGGAACTGCTGGAGAGAGTCCAGCGTAGGGCAACAGAGATGATGGAGGGATTGGAGCATCACCTTGATGAGGAAAGGCTGAGAGAGCTGGGGCTCTTGAGCCTGGAGAAGAGAAGGCTGAGGGGAGACCTTATCAATGCTGACAAGTATCTAAAGGGTGGGTTGAGGAGGATGGAGCCAGACTCTTTCCAGTGGTTCCCAGTGACAGGACGAGGGGCAACAGGCACAAGCTGGACCATGGGAAGTTCCACTCCAATCTGAGGAAGAACTTCTTTGGGGTGAGGGTGGCAGAGCCCTGGCAGAGGCTGCCCAGGGAGGGTGTGGAGTCCCCTTCTCTGGAGATCTTCAAGCCCTGCCCGGATGCTCCTGAGTGATGTGCTCTGGGCAGCCCTGCTTTGGCAGGAGAGTTGGACTGGATGATCTCTAGAAGGTTCCTTCCAACTCTGACAGTCCCTGTGGTGTCCCCACAGCTGTGGGCCGGGCCACGTGTGGGTCTGGGCACCTTCATTTCTTTTAAACTATCTCCTCACGCCTGATATTTCTGTCCTGCTTTTGAAACCATGAGACTGCAGGTGTTGGGGACTTGCCCGGGTGTTGTCCCCACCTGCTGACACCCCTCTGTCTCCTGCAGCCCTTCATCGACAGCGACCATGTGATCCACAAGTACTTCTTGCCGAGGGAGTACGCCGTTATCATCCCCGTGGTGGCCGGGCTGCTGCTGCTGCTATTTATAGGTGAGTGTTATTTCTGTTGTTCTAATTAGAAGCTTCTAAATTAGGAAGAGAGAAGAGGGTTGCTAGGGGGTTACCTAATGTGTGACACTCGTGACACGCTCGCTGTGGCTCCTGACACAGCTCAGCCTGGCACAGGCTCTTGGGGCCTGTGTTTGGGGTGGCTTTGGCTATGTGACCCTCTGGACAGCAGAATTGTTTCTTGCTGGCTTCGCTGAGGTTCTGTTTCTCCCCGCAATATGTTCTAAAAGTGCCCATAATTAGAAGTTTTCTGGCTGAATCTCTTCTCTCTTTCGCGGTAGGTGTTTTTATAACGGTGGTGATGTGGAGGAGCAGGAAACCTGCCAAGAAATCAGAGTGAAGGCCCTGCTGTGAGAGAGATGAGGAGAAGGCGCCCACCCTGCGACGTCGGAGCCAGGAAAGGACTTTGCCTGCAGCACCTCCTCCGGAGCCCAGCTGCCTGCTCTCTCCCACGTTCCTTCCTGCAGAGACAAAGTCTCCTGTAGTTTACAATTTACTGACCAAAGGGAAGCAAAACGGACCTCAGGGGCTCACCGAGAGGGACCAGAGCCCTGACTGGGGGTCCCACTCCCCAGCTGGGGCTGCCTGTGCCAGCGCTGGCCGGAGGAGCTGCCGGGGCCCAGCAGCACTCACCAGAGTGTGAGTGGAGCCCTGAGCCCTGCCCGCTGCTCAGCCCCTGAGTCATCCTTCCCCTCTGCTCTTGCTGTGTCCACTACTTTGTTCCTTCTGGGGTTTTTCTTTTTTTTATTTTTAAATGTTTACGTACGGTTTGTGGCGGTTTATTAATTGGATTCAAGATGGAGAGGAAAGAAATGAGGCTGAGCTTGGAAAAGGCAGGTTTGTCTTCTCCGTTTGCCTGCAGGAAGGACCATCCCTGGTGCTGGGGGGCTCTCACCCTTCTGAAGAGAGACCCCCACGAGGCTGGGCGTGCAGAGGGTGCAGGGACAGTGCCACCACTGCCCCCTGTGTCACCCCCTGCAGTCATCCAGCTGAGGGGGTGTCGAGGAGATGTGCTGGGTCACAAGGAAGCGTTTGGCTCTGCCGCTGGTGGGTGCAGCTCCCATCACCACTGTCACCTCCTGGCTGTCACCTCTGGGCTCCCCAGTTCAAGAGAGACAGGGAACTGCTGGAGAGAGTCCAGCGTAGGGCAACAGAGATGATGGAGGGATTGGAGCATCACCTTGATGAGGAAAGGCTGAGAGAGCTGGGGCTCTTGAGCCTGGAGAAGAGAAGGCTGAGGGGAGACCTTATCAATGCTGACAAGTATCTAAAGGGTGGGTTGAGGAGGATGGAGCCAGACTCTTTCCAGTGGTTCCCAGTGACAGGACGAGGGGCAACAGGCACAAGCTGGACCATGGGAAGTTCCACTCCAATCTGAGGAAGAACTTCTTTGGGGTGAGGGTGGCAGAGCCCTGGCAGAGGCTGCCCAGGGAGGGTGTGGAGTCCCCTTCTCTGGAGATCTTCAAGCCCTGCCCGGATGCTCCTGAGTGATGTGCTCTGGGCAGCCCTGCTTTGGCAGGAGAGTTGGACTGGATGATCTCTAGAAGGTTCCTTCCAACTCTGACAGTCCCTGTGGTGTCCCCACAGCTGTGGGCCGGGCCACGTGTGGGTCTGGGCACCCTCTTTTCTTTTAAACTATCTCCTCACGCCTGATATTTCTGTCCTGCTTTTGAAACCATGAGACTGCAGGTGTTGGGGACTTGCCCGGGTGTTGTCCCCACCTGCTGACACCCCTCTGTCTCCTGCAGCCCTTCATCGACAGCGACCATGTGATCCACAAGTACTTCTTGCCGAGGGAGTACGCCGTTATCATCCCCGTGGTGGCCGGGCTGCTGCTGCTGCTATTTATAGGTGAGTGTTATTTCTGTTGTTCTAATTAGAAGCTTCTAAATTAGGAAGAGAGAAGAGGGTTGCTAGGGGGTTACCTAATGTGTGACACTCGTGACACGCTCTCTGTGGCTCCTGACACAGCTCAGCCTGGCACAGGCTTTTGGGGCCTGTGTTTGTGGTGGCTTTGGCTATTTGACCCTCTGGACAGCAGAATAGTTTCTCACTGGCTTTGACCAGACAAGCCATGTGCCCCACCATCTCCCACCCGGGGGGGTGATGCTGGTGTCTTGGGGGGGCACCAGCCAAGGGCTGTGAGTGTGGGGCTGAGCCTGGCTGCCCTTTAATCCGCTGCGTGGACCGTGGGGTGCTCCAGAGGGGAGGTTTTGGCTGGAGCTCAGGTGCACCCACCCCCCTCACCTCTCCCTGCGGCCAGGTCCTTCATCTCCCCCCAGTTTCCCCACACCTTGCTGCTGCCCCTTCTCCTGGTGAGGAATCCCTCACTCTCCAGCCCCTCTTCTGCTCAGTGCCCCCCACGACGGTGGGTTTGAGCTGGGGCAGGTGGAGGCAAAAGGGTGAAAAATTCAGTTGTGTCTCTGGGCAAGTCCAGGTGTGCCCCCCCCTCCCTGCACAGGTACTGCTTTCACAGGAACCCTGTCACCTCTTCCTGGTCAAAGTCTGGGTTGGGGTGGGACAGGGTTGGTACCAACTTGAGGGTGACTTCTCATGTTTCTTGGTAAACAGTGGGAGAAAACAAAGTCCAGTCCTCTCGGCTGGGCGGGCAGCTGGCTCCGGGGACATTGCTCATGGGTCCCCTGAGGGGCTGTGGGTGACAGGAGACACCCCCCACCCCCCCCGAGACCACCAGACAGGGGGTGCCGAGAGGCCAGCCTGCCCCAGCCCCGCTCCTGAGCCATTTTGGATCATTTTGGTGTCCCTGGGCTGCTCCCACCGAGCGCCCCAGTGTCCAGGACTGGTGGTACTGGGAGGTGAGGAAGGGGCTTGGGGGAGGCGGGGAGGGGGTGCAGGGAGACCCCCGGGCTGGCGGGGAGGGCAGAGCGGGAGGAGCAGAGAGAAATGGGTAACGGGGGTGGTCCCATGGGGTTACCGGGGTCGGTATGGGGCCGGTTGGTCTCGGGCCACACGGGATGGGCACCGGGGTCGGTATGGGGCCGGTTGGTCCCGGGATAC